GGAAAGTTTGAAGGAGTATTTCATTCTGCGTGAAAAGAAAAGTTGACAGATGTAAGAAAAATATTAAAACGTGATCAGTTTAATGCATTTAAATAGCAGGATGGAGGTATGGATGGCAGATATGGACTAGAGCGTTTAGATGCTACTTTAAAGTCATCAACCCTTTTCGCTGAGAATCTTGCTGAAGTAAGTAGCTGAAAAGCGAAAGTGTTTGCTTTTTTATTGTTTATTTCCATGGCAGTTTTAGCTCCTAAAACTACATTTTGTGAAGATTAAAACATGGAATTGTTATTTGGTATCTACAAACGTAATGTACATGTAAGGTAATCAAACTTCAATGTTTATTTCATTGGTGGTCATGTGCCAAATATGCTGAGATTAGTTATGTCAACATAGCCAAACTGGCAGTGAAAATCAAAAGCATTAGATATCTTCTAAAAGGTATGATGATGTATTAAAATGCTAAAGCTAGAGCAGTAGTGGAAGAAATGTAAAAAACAAACACTGAAACCAAAATTAAACTAAGAAAAAATGTCACAATTTGGGCATTGTAACCTGTCAAAACAATTGTATAGCAAGCCCAACTTCGACATATTACTACAAATGTTTTCTAATCAATATAAGAAAAACTCACAAAGTTTAGTGTTTTTATTGCGCTGCATTAGGTTTGAAATAAGCACGGCAAATAATTTATAAGCGCTTAGTTTACTATCATTACTTGTTAGGTTATATTGATTTCTTTTTCCTGCCTTTTTTATTCAGGAAAGAAGTAATGATTTATTGGATCAGGAAAACATCGAACTGATGCCGATACCATCGACCTCACAGGAAAACAGCAACGCTGCCGCCATATTGATATCAAGTGAAGATATAGGTGATGATGATGATGATGATGATGAGGGCGAGGAAGAGGAAGAAAACAGCAACTATTTACTGGATCAGCAAAGCATGGAACTGCTGCCGATGCTATTGACATCACAGAGAGACAGCAACCCTTCCACCATATTGATATCAACTGAAATTACTGATGATGACGATGACAAAGAAGAAGATACTCTGGATCTCAAAAGAATGGAACTACTGCCAATGTCAGCGACATCACAAGGAAACAGCAATGCTTCCGCAATACTGATATCAATTGAGAATGTTGATGATGATGACAATGAAGAGGAAGAAAACAGTAGCAATTTTCTGGATCAGAAAAAAATAGAAGTGCCACCGATGCGATCGACATCACAGGGGAACAGCAACGATTCCGCCATGTTGATATCAACTGAAAATACTGATTATGATGATGACGACGAAGAAACAGACAGCTTTACTACTCAAAAGCTGTTTTCCTTTGCTTGGCAAATAGCAAAGGGAATGGTAGGTATTAATATAACTACCTAGAAATCAGATAAAGTATAACAATACTTTTTAGTAGTGACACTGAATATCTGACTAGCAAAAAAAGAAAAAAA